GGGGCAGGGGACCAGCATGGCCCGGAAGACGGGAGGGGTCCCCATGGGATTGTCCCACCTTTGGAGGCGCGCTGGCGCTTTCTAACCCTCCGCCTGTGCTCTCTGCTTTCTCTTACAGAATACAAGGTAAGGGGGCCGCCGCCTCGCCAGCCTCTGACCCCTTCCTGCCGCTCCTGCCAGGTTAAAAGTTCCTTTTGTTGAGCTTTTCCTATAAACGTGTGTCCCCGGCAGACTCGAGCATGTGCCCGCCCCGGCTTGGGCCTGGCGCTGTCAGCCCGGCGCGCCTCCTGCTCGAGCCCACGGTCTCTCCCCGAACAGGTCTATCCCTACGATTCCCTCATCGTAACAAACCGAATCCGTGTGAAGCTGCCCAAGGACGTGGACCGGACGAGACTGGAGGTAAGGGGGGCCCCAGGGTAGAGGTCCTTCCGCTGAGCGACTCTCTAAGGGACCTCGTCCGCGGTGCCAACACGCATTGCCCCTGAGTGTCCCCATGGGGTGGCGCAGGCGCAGCGAGGGCTGGTGTCGAGGACCCGTGCTGTCTCCGGGGCGGCCTATGTGCCAAACGGGCGGCTGGGCAGAGGCCCGAGCTGCGTGTGGTCTGGGCAGGAGGGGCTCGGAACAGGGCTTGACTTGGTCATGCCCGTCTCTGCCCCGAGCACTGACAGTGGGGAGCTGTCCCGGTTCACGACCCCCATGGTCTAGGGTGGTAAACGGGTCTGCAGAGAGCAAGTACAGTCGGCCCTCAGACAGCAGGGAATGAGGGGCGGGCACCCCCAGCGCCGTCGAAATCCGAGTGTAACTTGGACTTCCCAAAACTCGACCACAGCCAACCCTTGGTGTCTGGGGGCGCAGGTTCCAGGACTCCCAGCAGGTGCCCAAGCCCCTCAGATAAAATGCTGCAGAACGACACACAGTCAGCCCGCTGCATCTGACGGTTCCTAATCAAGGGTCGAAGATAGTTTTGGTTCGATCCACGGTTGGTTGAAACCGCAGATGGAAAACTCCAGAATTTGGAGGGCTGAGTGGATACTTGGTGAGAAAGTCCTCGGATCGGCGGGCCCACACTGTTCAAACCGTGTTGTCCAAGGGCGAACTGGATTATGTTTAAAAGGCCCACAGGACGTCACCGCAGCATAGGAATTTGGATAAAATTGTTGCCTGGAAGAACTAACTTTGCTGAGCCCTTGCTATGAGCCAGGTGCAGAGCGGCCCCCATGCTGAATTTAATCCTCACAGTCACCCTACAAAAAAACCAATGTCCAGACAGTGGGGTTCAGCTCCTGAGCGGGTCAGGAGTGTTTCGGGGCCTTTTAGTGATGATTCCACTGAATGTGAGGGGTCTGGAGGGTCCTGAAAGTCAGTCTGGGCCCCAGGGCTGGGCATACAGTAGGTGCTGGGAGCATATGAAGCCTACTGTGTGTCCAGCCAGCGCCAGACCCTGCTGGATTGCCTGCCGGGCGGTGACTCAGGTCGTTTCCAGGAGGGGAGCAGTAGGGCCGTGGACGCGGCCACATCCAGGGCTAAGAGGAAGTGCTGAGCTGGCCCTTATAGGATGGACAGGACTGTCACCAGCTGAGAAGGGAGAGCATGGAAGGGCCTGCCAGGCCAAGGGACCCGTGAACTCTGGGCTCCCAGCCCCGTGCAGCTCCCAAATTGGGGAGCACTCCAAGAGCAGTGGGCACAGGGCAGGCCGGGGACCCAGCAGCCACCTCTCGCTTCGGGAGCCACCCTGTGGCCTCAGGCCGGGTCTCTGGCCACCTCCTCCTGGGCTTCACTGAAGACAATCCCGCTTTCTCTGCAGGGACTCACTCCTTGGCTCAGCTGAAGCCAAGTCCTTGTTCATTGTGCGGTTCTGTCCCCAGTACAAATGTCACTGCTGTAGAATGGGCTGCTCTGGCTGGGTGGCTCCAGGGTCAGGATCCGACGGGAAGGTTCCTGTCTGTGTGCGGCTGTCCCCTCTGGGCTAGTGCTCTCTCCGCAGAAGTGGGCTCGGCAAGCTGCCCGTGGTGCCCTTGGGGCCCGGAGCCTGCTGGAACTCGCTTCTTTCCCTGGGGACTGGGGTGCACTTTAGATAACTCCCATCCCACCCCAGTCTTTTGCTATAGTACAGAATGAAAGATGCAAAAATCAAGCAGTTAATACATGTAAATATTTCCTTTTAAACAACTCCGAGGGGAATGGTTTAATCACTCAGATCTCCGAGCACACGCCCAAGGGTGCGTCTCTCATGGTCTCGTCCTGGGCCTCAGCGGAGCCAGGAGGCAAACTGGAAATGTTACCACCCGGGGCCCATCCCACATTCCTCGGGGCTTGGAGCTGGGGTGCGAGCCAGGAGGGGCTCAGGAGGGACCCGTCCCAGCAGAAGAGGGCCCTTGGTGTTCGTGTTTCAGAGGAGCGAGCTTTATTTTTAATATAAAAACAATCAGTTATGTTTATAAAACTCCAGAAAAATACAAAGACGATCATAAGCATCACACAGGATCCCAGCTGGGTCCTCACTCCCGGGAGCCCCAGCAGCGGCTTCCTGCACAGATGCCCAGCGACGCCGACTTGTGTTTGGTGTTTGGGGAAGCTGACTCAGTTTATGCGGCTGGACACCTGCCTGTTTCTTTACAACTTGATGTGAGCATTTTCCACGCCAGCTCACGTGGAGCCACCCACCCCTTTAAACAGCGTGGTGGCCCCGTGTCCGTGTTCCCCACGTGGGAGGGCCCCAAAGGCCAGGCATCGCTTCTGTTCACACCCCACTAAGCTGAGCTCTGTCAGGGGCGAGCCGTGAGCAAGGCGGGCTGGGCCAGCTGTGTGCCAGCTAGAGGAGAGGACGGTTTGGGTGGCCGGCTGGCAGTGCCTGCCATGCCTCTGGAGGGTCAGGCCCTGGGGCGAGGACTCCTCTGTCAGATGGTCAGGGCCTGCTGTCCACCCTACCGCCAAAGTGCTCGGCTGGGTCTTGCATCCACTGAGTGAGCTTGTGCCAGGCACTGGGTGGGTCCTGGGTACAGGGCAAGCACCCCAGCAGGAGCTCCACCCTCACAGACTCAGTCTGGCAGGGAGGCAGACAGCAATCAGCTGGTGACCCAAATGAGTGTGGATAATTTTATATTGAGATAAGCGCTCTAGAGGGAGGGAGACGCGCCTGTAAGTGGTTAAAAATGGATAAAAGTTAACTGGTTAAAAATGGATAAAAGTTAACTGGGTGCAGGAAGGGTGCCTGCACGTGTGAGTATAAGCTGAGGGAAGAGAATTCCAGGGGAGTACACTGCACTGCAAAGGCCCTGGGGCAGGAGGAAGCTAGGGCTGTTAGAGGAGGAACTGTGAGGAGCCTGAGGCGGCCACATTGAGCTGGGTGACAAGGACGGGGCAGTCCTCGCAGGGCCCTGGGCCCTGCGAAGCAGTTTGGTTTTGGCCTAGAAGCAATGGCTTTTAAGTGAGGGATTAAATGATTAGGTTTGTCATGTTAAACAATGCCCGGGGCTGCGTGGTGAGGCCTGGAGTGGCTGGGCGGATGCAAGGAGTCTGTTTAGGAAGGAATTAGGTCATCCGAGCAAGAAGTGATGGACAGTGTGTCAGCACTTCTGAGGCCAGAAGCGGGCGATTCAGGCGGCACTTGGGAGTCGAGGTGGCCGGCTTGGGCCATGGAAGGTGCTCTGTGGGGAGCGCTGTGGCTCCAGACTGTCCGGTTGGGTGGTGAATGTAGTGGTCACCCAGTGGGGCTCAACAATGATTGACACTCTGGCCTATGAAGCTCAGCCGGGGAATTCGGGAGACTCAGGCTGGCATAGCGAAAGGCACCATGGAGGCACCTAGTAGCTCTTAGTAGGTGCTCAGTAAATGCTGGTCGCTAGGACAATCCCCTGCCATTCTGGAGGTGTGGTCACATGGGAAGTGGGCAGATGAATCATGGGATCCCAATGGACAGAGTCAGACCCGCAGGCCGACTTCCCAGTCTAACACCCTTCCTGCGTCCCACGCTTTGTCCTGGAGGGGCTGGGTCCCAGCCCCTGCCCCAAGGGCCTTGTGCCCTGGAGCATTTTAGACCCTTCCTGCATCTGGCAGTTACCCTCTGAGGGTCTGCTGTGCCAGGAGCTTCCAGTTGGAGGGGAAGGAGCCTTGCCCGTCCCCAGGAAGACTCAAGTATCCTCCTTTCTGAGGCCACGCCCTGCACATCTGTGCCTGGCACCTACCGAAACACATCCCCATTTTGTTTGTGTGTCAGCCTCTTGCTGTCCAGGGTGATATCCCGGTGGAAGCAGAGAGCACTTAGGGTCAGGTTGGCCTGGGTGTGAACTCAGTCTCCGTAATGTCTAGCTGTGTGACTGTGGGCAAGTCACTTAACCACTCTGAGCCTGACTCCTCACTGTTAACGGCATGGCCCTGCCTGTGCTGCTGGGTGGTGTGAGCCTGTGTTCAGTCGTTAGCCCAGGCAGGGGTAGTGTGTGTCCGGTTCGTTTATTTGGTGCATGTTGTCCCCATTTTCCCAACCCGAGAGAGAGCCACGTAGATGACAGTGGATTGGAAAAAGCTTTCCACAGGGACAGGGAGCTCTGGGATGGTCAAGTGCCACACTTGCCAAGAACTTAATGAACAGCCAGGTGGCCACGTGCGAATGGGGGCAGCACCAGCCATGAGGCTCGGCCACGGGGAGAGAATGAGCTTCCTCCGTGACACCCAATGCTGCGAGCAGGTAGGACCCTGAGGCTTTACTAGGTTTGGCTTAGTTAACAAGCACCTGTCCCACCCAAGGACGTCCCGAACGCCAGACACACCGGCGCACACGGTTTCCACACTCAGCACGGTGGCTGCAGACGGGCCTCGGAGGTGGGAGAGCTGAGGGCTTTCCAGGGCCCTCGGTTCCTGAGAGGCAGAGCTGGGACGCTGGCCAGGGTGTCGCCCGGAGCCACCGTGCTGTGCCGTCTTCCTGGATTAATGACGCTCTACGAAATGAATGTCTCACACCTCTTCTGTGCATCAGCCTCCCCGCGCACACGTGCAGACATTCTGTTCCTTAGGTGGGAGCCTTTCAGCCAGGGTCCTGCACAATCAGCACCGGCAGGAGGTGGGCAGGTGAGCGGTGGACCGACAGAAAGACAGAGACATAGAGACAGACATAGACCTGTATTAAGAAATGCATGTAAGGGGTTGGCTCGTGGAACTGTGGGCTGGCAAGTCTGAAGTCAGCACAGGCCGGCGGGGAGACCAGGCAGGAGTTCACTCGGAGGCAGGATTTCTTCTCCGGAAGCTCGGTGTTGGCCCTTACGGCCCCCAGCGGATTGAATGAGGGCCCCGCACACGCCTCTCCACCACACTGTGGAGGGCCACCGTTTTTATTAAAGGTTTCTTACTGATTTTTAGAGAGAGGAAGGGAGAGGAATAGAGAGATAGAAGCATCGATGAGAGAGAAACATCATCAATTGGCTGCCTCCTGAACTCCCCCTGCGGGGAGTCAAGCCCGAAACCCAGGCATGTGCCCTGACCAGGGATTGAACTGGGGACCTTTTGGTGCAGGGATGCTCAACCCACTGAGCCCACCAACCAGGGCTGGAGGGTCATCTTTGCTTAGAGGCAGCTGGTTGTAGGTGTGAGCCACGCCCACAGAAGACCTTCACGGCAGCCCCCGGAATAGGTCTGCCAGGCAGCTGGTGCCAAGGCCCGGCCAGGCTCACACAGCGTGTGGCCACTCGGACAGGAAAGGGTGCCCTGGGAAAGGCGCTTCCTGTCTGCTGGGAGCCCGGTGGCCATGTCCCTGTGAGTCACTTGCGGGTCCTCCTTGATTCAGCCGCGCAAACCTTTCGGCTGCTGACTGCAGGGAGGGGAGCGACTCTGCACAGTGGGTCCTGTGCTTTCCTGAGTGGCCTTGGACCCTGAGACTGAGTGTACCCTGGAGTTAGCTCAAGGAGTAAGGGCTCCTGTCTGTGGAATGTGCCTGAGAAAGAAGGCCCTGCAGCTACCGAAGAACCTGCTTTGTTTAAACTCACCGGACTGGTCTGATGAGAACCTGATAGACTGGTGATGGCACAGGGCCCTGGCTGAGCTGGTGTCTGAGAGAGGGGTCTGCACCAGCATCAGGGCTCTAGGGCAGCAGTGATTCGGCACTGAGGGACATGGCATGGCTCTAGGACCTGATTGGCTAGAGCAATCCAGGAGGGCCCCCTGGAGGAGGGGATGTTTGAGCTGAGAGCTGTAGGAAGAGGAAGAGCCACTGTGTGGAGTCGGGGAAAGGGCATTGCGGGCCCTGGGGTGGCAGAGAGCCTGGCGTGTTCCGGAAGCCACAGATGGCAAAGGCCTGGCACGGTGCCATGCGTCCCCTGTGGTTGATGTACTCTTGCAGGGGGCCAGAGGTGAGTTGTTACTGTGTCAAATCTTCTAGTTCCCAAAGTTAAGTCAGAGATTCATTTCTCCAGGTCCCAGGGTATCTCCTCTGCAAAACCTTCCTGGGCCTTCCCTGGTCCCTCACCCCTCAGGTGGCCTTACCTGCTTTCTGACCCACCTCCCCATCAGGTGGGAGGTCTCTGTGGGGCAGGGGCGGCCTGGTCTGGTTGACATCTGTGTCCCCAAACCTGGCACAACAGGTGAATGAAGAGAGAGCGGAACGTGCGTGAGGCACAGCCCCTCACCTCCCCCCTGCGGTCATCCTCCAAGCCACTCCTGTGCCAGGAGCACCCATGCTGGTCCCTGGGCACAGTGTGCTGTGGTCCCATCCTGCCCAGTGCTCGATGCTGAGGGGACCATGGCACAGGGCACAGTTCAGGGCCTGCTGGAGCTGCTCCCACTCTTACATTTTAGGAATTTTTTTTATGCTGGTGTTAACCCAGCCATCACAGAAAAACAGATTATGGAAACTTAGGATGGAATCAATTCTATTTAAAGCAAAGGCACAAAGACTCAAAACTCACCCCTCTCCCCTCCTTTGTGTTTTCCACCGTCTCTGCTGTGGAGGTGACTGCACCTGTCGCGTCTGTGTGGCGGAATGTTCTGTAACGGTGTCCCGTGGGGCACCCTCTCCCAACCCTGCACTCAGTGACCTCATGTTGGCCGCGTGAAACTGGCCATGGTGTGGAGGGGGCCTGAGGGCTCTGGGAGCCTGGGGGAGGGGTGATCAGGGAGGCTTCCTGGAGGAGCTGGCATCGCCCAGCCTGAGGAGTGAGTGGGCGATGCCTGTGGGTGAGGAGGGGCTCGCCCTCCAAGCGGAGGGAGAACAGGTCCAGCACCAACCTGCTCGTTCCCACCTCATAGACCTCGCACCTGAGCTCAGGTCCCTCAGTGCAGCTGCACAGGGTGGAGCCAGGACCCGCATCCTGGGCTGTGTGGTCCTGGGTCGGAGGTCTTTGTAGGACACCGCCCTGGAGGGTCGCCTGTAGGCAAAGTCTATGGTCCCTGCCCGGGAAGGCCGGCGCTCCCCAGGAGTGGGCTGTCCCAGAAGGAGGCTGGCCAGCCCCTCTGCGGAGGCACCGCGCCCTGGGCTTCCTTCCTGTGGCTCGGGAAGGAGCTGGGCTGTGCCTGCCTGGCCTCCCCTCGCCTCGGTGGACACCTAGGGGTGAGAGGGTAAGGCTGCCCTCCTCCTGGGGAGCCTTCGGGGACCAGGGGTCAGGGGAGTTGGCCCAGGGGTCATCTGTGCACGGCCCTGTCCCACTTGCTATGGCAAGCTCATGGCAGGGCAGAAAGAGCCCTGGGTCGGGGAGGGCGATGACACTGCCTCATGATCTTGAGCGAGTTTTTTTTTTTTTTTAAATATGTTTTTATTGAGTTTAGAGAAAGAGAGGAATGGAGAGGGAGAGAGAGAGAGAAACATTGATGGGAGAGAATCATTGATTGGCTGCTCCTCACAACGGTCCTGCCTCTGGTTGCCCAGCAGCTATCCCAAAGTTGCTAACTGCTCCCCTCTGATTTTCCCTTTTTATCTGAAGAGACACTTGTCGCCGGAGGAGTTCCAGGAAGTGTTTGGGATGAGCATGGAAGAGTTTGACCGCCTGGCCCTGTGGAAGAGGAACGACCTCAAGAAGAAAGCCCTGCTGTTCTGATGGCCACCGGGCACCTGGCCACACGAGCCGGGGGCAGAGCCGCTGGCAGAGCCCCTGGCGGAGCCGTGGGCACCCGACGGGAACCACGCACACCCCTCCTGTTGCACTGGCTCTGGCTTCTCTGTGTCCACAGGGCGGGTGTGGCGCCTGGGGAAGGCCTGGGGGGTGGGGGGGCTGGAGCAGGTCCCACAGCAAGTGCACCTGCAGCGCCCCTGCCCATAGTTTAGGGCCCAGACACCTCGCTTTGCACCGCCCCTTCCCCCGCTGTGCTTGGCATCACGGAGATGCTGCAGCCTGGCTGTCCCAGGAGAGGGAGGGACTTTAGACAACCACAGCCCGCCTTCCTAGGCCCATGGGACACAGAGGTGACCGGGGCTGGGGATCTGAGGCTTGTCAATGACAGGCACTGACACAATCATTGGTGGGGGGCACAGGGCTCCCAGAGTCCTCTGGCCCTGCCCACCTGCCCCACCTGGAGGCACAGCCTTGCACACGGAGGGTGCTGGCTCACGGCCCTGCAGCCCGGGTGCCCAGGCCTGTGCCAAGCGTGGGGTGCACGAGTTTTGATGAGTCTCTTTTTAGGGACAAAGCTCAACCTGACAGGGTGCCTCCCTCCAGGGCCCTCTGTGCACTGTGTTGTGCTTCCACACCATCCCCTAGATGCCTAAATGATATCTTTAAAGCAACGCAAAGTTTTATTTTATTAAAGAGTATAGCCTACTTAAACACGAGGCGACGTATATGCAGAGTTTAGTTTTCCAGTCCCACTGAGGGGGCGCCTCCAGCCTTAGTCTCCCCCGCTCACAGCTGTGCGGTCTCGGTTCTCCGTGTGTTCCCAGGACATGGGACCCGTCTGTTTCCTTTTTGTCTTTTTTTCTGTGCACCTGTCACACGGGTACCCTGAAAGGCAGTCCCCCCCTCCCCCAGTGAATGCCGTTTGTGAGTCTGCGTGAAGTCTGGATCCACGGTTATCTCCTCGCTGTTATTTTCCAAGCCTCGGACAGGAAAAACCTCCCCGCCAGCCGGAGCACAGGAATCAAGGATCTCACTGTACCCGGCCTAGCACCCCATGTGGCTTTTGGTGACGTGGCCAGCAGTGTCCTACCTCCCCACGGTAGAACACAAAGGTGTGGCCCCAGGAGCGATACCTTGTGGGTAGTGCTGAGACAGACACCGACATTTGGGGACAGAAGCCGGGACACCTGTCTGATCTGTCCAGTCAGCAGAGTGCCTTGTGGCAGAGGCCCGCTGGTCCCCAGCTGAAAGATGCCTGCTGTCACTAGGTGTGGTGCTTGTCACTAGGTGTGGATTAGGGATGGTGCCTGTCACGGTGTTTGTAAAGTGTGTCAAGAGGCCTATAAGAACCAGAAAGGTGTCACCCACGTTTGTTTCCAGTGTTTGCAGCCGAGTCCCTGTGCGTCCTGGCCGTCCCTGCTGTGAGTCAGGGTTTCTCAGCTTCCTCCAGCCCCAGCACATGCTGTCCTGTCCTGTCGCACACCCGGCTTCTCGCCAGCCTGGTTTGGCCAGGGAAGGGGAATTTTAGCACCTAATCCGCTTCCTTCCACTTAGCAACCTGAGCCGGAGCAACTGGGAACCCCCACTTCCTCACTAGTGCAATGTCCTGTGGGACCCAGGGGAGCCCGGACAAATAAAGGACAATGTATTCTAACTTGTGAACATAAGAAGCCGCTTCTTAGACACGCGCGTCAATTCCAATGGGCTGGGCCCCTCTGTTGACGGTGGGGTGCTTGGGGAGCGGGTCTGCCCTAGGAGCTGGCACAGGGCCTGTGTGTAGAGTGGGCAGTGCCGTTTGGGGTAGGACCCCGTGTCAGCTTCAGCAGGCCACAGGTTTGGGACCCCTGCTTTCCCCAGAGCACATCTCTGCCAGGTTCTGTGTGCTGATGGTAGAGAGACTGTGGGAGCTGGTACCTCCCCGGTCAGGCTGGGGAGACCGAGCAGCTACCAATGACAAGACCAGCCGCCACCCTGTGGAGATGGCTCGAAGGAGGCCTCAAATGCACCCCAGAGCTCAGGGGAGGCTTTCTGAGAAGGTGTTGCCCAAATGAAGTCTTGACCAATGAAGTATTCCTGGAGACCGATGAAGGGAAGGGTATTCCAGGCCAAGGGAACAGCAGGAGCAGACACACTGAGGCTAGAGACAGCCTCGCGGGTTCTGGACACTTCCGTAGCTGCTCTGGCTGGAGCATGTGGCTGAGGAAGGGAAGAGAAAGCAGGCTTAGCTCCCCCACCCAATGGGTCTGGGATTAAATGTTCCATAATCTCTGTCTTTGTTCAGAGTATTATAGACCGGGGGCCTTAAACAACAAACATTTCTCATGGTCTGGAGGCTGGAAGTCCAAGATCGAGGCGCGGGCAGGATCAGGTTCTGGTGAGGGCTCAGGTCCTGGCTTGCAGGTGGCCGCCTCCTCTCCTTGTCTGTCCATCTCATAGGGACAGTAATCCCATCATGAGGGCCCACCCTCAGGGCCTATTCACCTCCTGAGGGCCCAGCTCCAAATCCACCACACTGGGTGTTAAGGCTTCAACATATTAATTTTTTTTTTTTTAAATATCTTATTGGCTTTGTTAAGTTTTTTGTTTTTTTTTTAATATATCTTTATTGATTTCAGAGAAAGGAAAGGATAGGGAGAGAGGGAGATAGAAACATCAATGATGAGAGAGTCATTGATCGAGCCCACAACCCAGGCATGTGCCCTGACCGGGAATCGAACCCCGATCGCCTGGATCCTAGGTCGACGCTCAACCGCTGAGCCACGCCCGGCCGGGCGAACATATTAATTTTGAGGTCACATAGACATTATGTCCATAGCGATCTCTCGCCTTATTCCAATGACTTTAATGACTCTCGTGAATTTTGGGGTTTTCCACCCAAAAGCCACATGTACACATCTTAGTAAATGGCACCACTGTATCCCCGGTTACACGGGTCAGAAACTGGCCTACTTTGGTCAGCCCCAAGGTCAGCCCAGCACAAACCCTGGTTCCCACCCTTAAGCATCTCTCTCAGCATTTTCTCATCTCAGCAGACACCTTGGTGGAATCACCCAGATCAGAAAATATTCCAGGAGTGGGAGGTGGCACTGTTACCAGTGACCGACCCTGGGACACAGGTGTACACCTGGCCTGTGCCAGGCAAACCAGGGCATAGGGTCACCCTGACCATGCTCCAGGCCACCCTCACCTCTCCCTGGACGAACACTACGGCTTCCCATCCAACCTCTCTGTTCCCACTCTCACCTCCTCACAGGTCACCCCACCCGACAGCCAGGGTGACACTTTGAAAACGTCAATAGGATCATGCCCTGCCGCCGTCCACGGCCTCCCCTTGCCACCCCCACCCCACAGGGTCCTGGTGTCTGTCCCACGTATCATGGCCATGCTGCTTTCCTCTTCACACATGCCCTGTGCCACCACATTGTTTCTCTGTCCATTGACGCTTCCTCCCCCGAATGGCACACCCAGGCTGACAGTCCTACGCCAGTGCTCTGCAACCTGGGAGCGCCATTGGGATAGTTGGTGATGGGACAGGAGCCCGTGTGGGCACCGTGCTCACCTCAAAGCTTCTCAGGGCTCAGCCCAAGAGCTTTCCGTGATGGTGGAAATTCTATGCCCACGATGTCCATACGGTGGCCACCAGCACTCGAAATGGAGCTGTGTGACTAGGGAAATAAGTTTTACATATTATTTTATTTTTTATTAATTTACTTTTGTCAATCCTCACCCAAGAATATTTCCCCTCTGATTCTTAGAGAAAAAGGAAGGGCGGGGGGGACAGGAGAGGAGGGCAGAGAGAGACAGAAACATCGATGTGAGAGAGACATCGATTGGCTGCCTCCCACACGCACCCTGACCTGGGCCAGGGATCAAACCTGCAACCCAGACACATGTCCTTGGCTGGGAATCAAACCTGCGACCCTTTGGTGCCCGGGCAGACCCTTTGGTGGTGGGACACACTGGCCAGTGTTAGTTTTACATTTTAATTACAGTTAAGTTTCAGGAGCCAGTGTGGCTAGTGGCTGCAGGTTAGACAGTGTGGCTCTGTGTTAGAAACGTCCACTGCCCTGAGCTGGGAGACTGCTGCCCATAGGAGGCCCTGGGAGCTGTCACCCTGTCCTGCCAGGAGTGTGCACTCATGCCCCGTATTCCCGGTCGGTTTAGAGCACACTTGCCGAGCACCCATCTGCGCCCGGCACCGCCCAGGGCGCTGGAGATGTGCAGGGCACAGTCCCTGCTCCAGAGCTCGGGTCTGCCACCAAGCCTCAGCTGCCCCGGGTTCTACGACCTTTGCACGGCCACAGCTGGCTCAGCGGTGCTCGCCAGCCTTAGACCCTGCCCGTGGCACCACCTTCCCAACCGTCCCCAGCCTGCAGGGTGTCAGGGGTTGGGGGCAGTGTCAGGCCTGCAGGCCTCCTTCCTGGACCCCCTTCCCCAGGGGGCTGTGCCTTCCAAGCTACTTAAACCTCACTCCAGAGCGTCAGAGGTCCCTCAGCAGAGGGCGAGGGCGGGACAGATCGGCAAGGGCGGCGTTTGCGAGGGCGCTGAGCAGAGTGGAAGCGCGACAGGGCGGGGCAGGCGGGAAGCGGTTCCTTTCCTGTCCGCCACGCGCACGGAGGAGCTGGAGGCGGTGCCTGGAAGCGGCCGTGGGTTTTGCAGGCGATGGAGTGACAGGTTTTTTTCCTTTCAACACTGTAAGACTATTGTCTCATTGCCTTTCGATTTTCATTTTCTTTTGGCAAGAATTCACCTGTAATTCTTATTGTTATTTCCCAGAAGATGATGTTTGTTTCCTATGACTGCTTTTTTAAAAAAAAACCATTCGTTTTCAGCAGCGGTGGTAGGCAGCCTCTGAGGTGCCCCTAGTGACCCCTGCTTCCTGGCCCCACCCTGCTGCGGCCCCCTGGCGGGGTCCCTGCCCTGGAGGATGGGCTGGACATACTGCCTTGGTCTAACAGAAGACAGGGCCAGTGACGGGATGTCACGTACAGTATTGGGTACAGAAAACTCTGGCTCCCCTCCCGGTGCTCATCACTCCCT